TTTTTATTTTTTTGCTAAACAAACCAAAAACCACTGAAAAATTTTTTTGATAGTTTTTGTTATAAAATTTTGTAGACAAGTGATTTTTTTTTCCTTCACGGGTGTGCGCTAATGAGGCTGCAGTGATGGGCACTGATGAGGAGGCACTGGTAGGTGGCACTGATGGGCATTGACAGGCATCACTGATGGGCACTGACAGGCAGAACTCATATGGCACTGATAGGGGACACTAATAGGCGGCACTGACTGGCACTGTTAGTGACACTGACTGGCATTGATAGGTGGCACTGAAAGGCAGCTTAGATGGGCACTATGTGGCATTGATGTGCACTGGTAGGCACTGAAATGTGGCACTGATGGACACTGACAGGTGGCACTGCTGGGGCTACACTGATCATCAGTGCCCTAATGATCAGTGTAGATGTCCCCTCCGCGGAATGCCGATTACCGACTCTCCTCTGTCAGCGTGACGGCTCGTGAGGAGAGAAATGCCGATAACCGGCATTTCCCTATTTACATGTGATCAGCTGTGATTGGACACAGCTGATCACATGACTGAGCCGACATTTTCGGCTCTTTCCATTGATCGGTGATCCGCTGTGTCCGAGGGACACAGAGCAGCCGCCGATCGCCGCGCGCTCCCAGAGCCACGCATGCGCAGTTAGGGTGGGAGAACATCCTATGACATCCTCCCAGAACGAGAGAACCGCCTTGCACCCGTCATTTCCTTAGATGGCGGGAGGAGGCGGTTAAACATGTCCAGTAAAAAGGTTTTAAAAAAATCCCATTGTCATAAATTCACCTGTGCATTTTTTTTTTATTTTTTGCACTATAAACAAAGAAAGGCCGACAATTTTGTAAAAAATAAAAAAAAAATATACATTTTTGACTTTTTGCTATAAAACATATCCAATTAAAAAAACAATTTAAAAAAAAAATCAAATTTCGTCATAAATTTAGGCAAAATGTATTCCGCTCCGTGTCTTTGCTATAAAAAAAAAAAAAAGGATATGTGTAAACTAATTGAAAGTTATAGCATTTACAAATGGCGGTATAGATACTGGAATTCTTTTTGTTCCTACTAGTAATGGCAGCAACCAACGACTTAAAGAGGACTGCGGGTGGCATTATGACACTTGGGGGGGGGGGGGGGGGCACCAATACAATGGTCAGTGCTAATAGAAAAAAAGCATGGACACTGTACTAATGGCACTGGGCAGGAAGGGGTTATCTGGGATGATCAAAGTGTTAACTGTGTGCTTTACATTGTAAGCACACTGCGTTGTACTGGTCTGCTATGCAGAGCTATACAAAGCAGTGTGCAGGAGCGGACAGGGGAGAGATCTGTGGTGTTTATACACAGGTTTCTCCCCCATCAGTAATACTTGGTGATCACCGGCAGGGACCTGGTGATTGACAGCCGTGGCTGCGAATGATGGCACGGGTAGGGCGCGTGCATCCCACCCGGAACTGCAAAATCATGTATATATACACATAATTTTGCGCACCCGTGCCGCTCTGTAGAAGTATTTCTGCCATAGGGCAGCACAGAAGTGGTCAATGACTGGTTGGGAAGGGGTTACCATCTAGAGGGGATCAATCCTTGCCTAACAAGGTTTACTGTGCTGATTTTACTAAGGGATGTGCCAGTTTTTTTTCCCTTTGCAGGGAGACAAAAACCGGCACATCCCTGCTGTCAGGACAGAGCTCTGTGTAGTTGTCAATCACAGGGCTCTCTCCAGTCATCGGCTCTGCTGATTGGTGGGTCTTGACCATAAATCATCATCCGGGACCCACTGATCAGCTTGTGCTGTAATGAATCACAGCACAGCCGGGGTAGCGGGTGCAAGGTCTCCCCCGTCCCTGCTAGTCCCCTGGTGTGGTGCTGGAGAAAGATGGGGGAGGGGGTATGGGGAGATAAACAGCGCAATGTTAAAAAAATTAAACACTTAAGTTGCCATAGAGCACCTCTGATTTAAATACAGTTTTGGTTCAAATTGATTTTTTTTGGTTTATCAGGACAAGTAGATTGGGACACGGATTTAGTCCCTGGAAAAGTAGTTTTTTTTCAAAAATGTCCACACCCGTGCACACGGCCCTCTTCTTCCAACACAGTGAGTGACAGTTCCAGGTATACAGAGAAGGATGATGTGACTCACACTCCCCTTCTGCACAGAATACAAGGCGTTCTGTGAATGCACAAGGGGAAGTTCCCATCGTTTACTCCTCCATTCACAGAACGTCTTGCATTTGTGTGAATGGGGGAGGAGGAGAGAGAAGTGATCCTTCACTGTAGTACAGCCAGAACTGTCAAGTCACAGCAACAGAAGAGTGACAGAAAATCTGGAGTAAATGAAAATTGCAATTTATACAGTAAGCAGCAGCACAACAGGCATAGAACACTCATCACTGAAGAGAACGTATTCACATCGTGCTGGAGAAGAAAAATATTGATCTTTTATATTATATACACACTATATTGCCAAAAGTATTGATCCAGCCCTCCCAATCATGTGATTCAGGTGTCCCAATCCCCTCCATATCATGTGATTCAGGTGTCCCAATCCCCTCCATATCATGTGATTCAGGTGTCCCAATCCCCTCCATATCATGTGATTCAGGTGTCCCAATCCCCTCCATATCATGTGATTCAGGTGTCCCAATCCCCTCCATATCATGTGATTCAGGTGTCCCAATCCCCTCCATATCATGTGATTCAGGTGTCCCAATCCCCTCCATGGACCCAGGTGTATACAATCAAGCCCCTAGGCATGCAGACTGCTTCTACAAACATTGGTGAAAGAATGGGTCGCTCTCAGGAGCTCAGTGACTCCAAGCGTGGTCCCGTGATAGGTGGTCACCTGGGCAATAAGTCCATCCGTGACATTTCCCGGCTACTAAATATTCCACGCTCAACTGTTAGTGGGATTATAACAAAGTGGAAGCCACTGGGAACAACAGCCACTCAGCCACCAAGTGGTAGGCCACGTCACATGACAGGGCGGGGTCAGCGCATGCTGAAGCGCACAGTGCGCAGAAGTCACCAACTGTCTGCAGAGTCAATAGCTAAAGACCTCCAAACTTGGTGTGGCCTTCAGATGAGCCCAACAACAGTGCGTAGAGAGCTTCATGGAATGGGTTTCCATGGCCGAGCAGCTGCATCCAAGCCTTCCATCATCAAGTGCAATGCAAAGCGTTGGATGCCGAGGTGTAAAGCACACCGCCACTGGACTCTAGAGCAGAGGAGACGTGTTCTCTGGAGTGACCAATCATGCTTCTCTGTCTGGCAATCCGATGGACATGTCTGGGTTTGGTGGTGGCCAGGAGAATGGTACTTGCCTGACTGCATTGTGCCAAGTGTACAGGTTGGTGGAGGGGGGATTATGGTGTGGGGTTGCTTTTCAGGGGTTGGGCTTGGCCCCCTAGTTTCAGTGAAGGGAACTCTTAAGGCGACATTTTGGACAATTTCACCCTCCCAACTTTGTGGGAAGAGTTTGGGGATGGCCCCTTCCTGTTCCAACATGACTGCCCACCAGTGCACAAAGCAAGGTCCATAAAGGACATGGAGGAGCCAGTTTGGGGTGGAGGAACTTGACTGGCCTGCACAGAGTCCTGACCTCAACCCCATAGAACACCTTTGGGATGAATTAGAGCGGAGACTGCGAGCCAGGCCTCCTCCCCCGACATCAGTGCCTGACCTGACAAATGTGCTTCTGGAAGAATGGTCCAACCTTCCCATAGACACCCTCCTAAACCTTGTGGACGGCCTTCCCAGAAGAGTTGTTGAAGCTGTTATAGCTGCAAAGGGCGGGGCCAATAAAAAGTTATTAAAATGTTTTTTTTTTTTTTTTTTTTTTTTTTTAAAGGAACTGTGCAAAAAATAAATGGTTTTTCAAAAAAGTTTAAAGTGCCCCTGTCCCCTCTCGCACGTAGTGGTGAACGCATACGTAGGCCACGCCCACATATGTAAATGGTGTTCAAACTACACATGTGAGGTATCACCACGAACGTCGGAGCGAGAGCAATAATTCTGGCACTAGACCTCCTCTGTCACTTTACATCGCTAACCTGTACACATTTTTTAAGTGTCACCCATGGAGATTTTTAAGTACCGCAGTATCACGCCATTCCACGAGCGTACGCAATTTTATAGTGCGACATGTTGGGTATCGATTTACTCGCCGTAGCATCCTCTTTCAGATTGTACAAAAAAATTGGGGTATATATATATTTTTTTTTTTTAATCAAAGTGTATTTTTTGCAAAAAAAATATATATTCATTTTTAAAATGCGCATTTCAGTTTTCAGCCAAGTGCATTCTGAATTTTCGGTTTCTGTTTCGGCAACAGAATTTTCATTTCGATGCACAACTAATAAAAAAAAAAAATACATATACACACACACACACACACACACACATACATATACACACACACACACACACACACACACACACACACACACACACACACATATATTTTTTTTTTTTTTTTTTTTTTTTTTTTTTTATATTACACACAGCATATCAAAATAGAAAGGAAGAAAAAAAAAAAAAAAAAAAATAGTAAAAACATAATGACCTCCCATCTATTATGCCCGCACACGGAGCACAGATGAAGCCCGCAGTGACAGTGACAGTGGGCAGTGCCTACATCGAATTTTTATCCAGGTGACAGCACTCAGCAGTAACTAGGTGCGATAGAAATACATGGCAGGGCTGGGATAAGTCGTCTATTACTGTCTATTGCACTTGCAGTCACTCCCACACAGCTAACTGGTGGGAAAATAGATATAAACACCGCCCAGACGGCAGACAGCCGGTCTCCGCCCCCGAGGTCTGTGTGTGAGTCTCCGCCCCCGAGGTCTGTGTGTGGGGATTTTACATAGGACAGTGATTGGGAACCTGTACAGGGATTTCCACTCAATCGTAGGACACATATGACTTCTAGAACTGTCCAAACGGTAAAACCCCGACACACAATCCTCTCCCAGCTGAACAGTCTAATGATCCATTTATTGATCATATCTACAAACACTATCTATACCACAGGAGACCTGACAAACTTCTCAGAGGGTCCCATCATCTGAACCCCCCTTCCCCCCATCTACAGGGAGAACAGAAATCCTTCCATGCTGGGATTGGTGGGGGTTATGTGCATTTATATCCAGGGGAGTGGTCACCAGAAGTGGCCCTTTGCTTTCTTTTATTTACACCCTGATCTACTATTCCTGCCACCGACGCCAGCCGCCGGGCACACTCCCTCCCCTCTCCCCCCCCCCCTCGACGCCAGCCGCGGGGCACACTCCCTCCCCACCGACGCCAGCCGCCGGGCACACTCCCTCCCCCCCCCCCTCCCGACGCCAGCCGCCGCCGGGCACACTCCCCTCCCCCCCCCCCCCCCCCCCCCCCCCCCCCCCCCCCCCCCCAACCGCGGGGCACACTCCCTCCCCCCCTCACCACGACGCCAGCCGCGGGGCACACTCCCTCCCCCCCCCCCCCCCCCCCCCCCCTCGACGCCAGCCGCGGGGCACACTCCCTCCCCACCGACGCCAGCCGCGGGGCACACTCCCTCCCCACCGACGCCAGCCGCGGGGCACACTCCCTCCCCACCGACGCCAGCCGCGGGGCACACTCCCTCCCCACCGACGCCAGCCGCGGGGCACACTCCCTCCCCACCGACGCCAGCCGCGGGGCACACTCCCTCCCCACCGACGCCAGCCGCGGGGCACACTCCCTCCCCACCGACGCCAGCCGCGGGGCACACTCCCTCCCCACCGACGCCAGCCGGGGGGGGCACTACTTGTCCCACTGACACCAAGGAGGTATCAATTACTTCCACTGATGCCACGAATTTCTACTCCCACTGGGCACAGTCCGTTGTATGTACTGTGGGAGACCAGATATGGTGAATGCAGGGTCCAGGGTTTAGGAACACTAATGCAGGCCATAGACTGTTCGTTTATCAGCAGATTTTTCGTACGAAAGAACAATCGGTCAATTTTCGCACTGTTAGTGGGGCAATGGCATCGGCCGATTTTTGCGGTTCCTCCTCATTTCTTTTATAGATCGTGCTGGAAAATGTGTGAAAAATGGCCAATTTTCGCAATCATTGGTGGTAACATCGCTTTACAGAACAAAGTTTTGTTTTTCGAACGAAAAATCGGCCAATAAACGAACCGTCTATGGCCTGCATAAGGGTGCTTCTCCCAGTCCCCTAGACCAGCGATCTCATCCAAATTTTGCAAACGGAGGGCCAGTTTACTGTCCTTTGTAAATATAAACTGATAAATACCATTTCTCATCAGCAGTACATAGCAGGCTTGTGACTTCAGTGTCCAGCAGTGCACTGGTTAAAGCTTGTAGGAGGAGTTTTCATTCTCCTCCGATTGTCCTGTGAGGCTGCATAACTCCTGGTCCTTTGGACAGCATTAATCACATGCACTCCCCCCCTTTCAAAAAAAAAAAAAAAAAAAAAAAAAGACAGGATCAAACAGCCTTTTTACACAATGTGGAGGATTAACCCCTTAGGTTCCACACAGTGAGTATAACCAGCATGCTTTACTGCATCTACAGACTGCTTGTACTGTTGGGGGTTTAGTGACATTTTAAACCCTGGCTTCCTTGGAAGATGGTGCTCCCCTGCACTCTGCTGTGGGCAGTTCCTCAGCAATCCCCTGGCACAATGCATGGCTATGGCCTCTGCACTGTACCTGATGACATCAGAGGACCTTAGACTGTCAGAGTGAAGGGAAGAAGAGGCTGAGGGAACTGGGCAATCCAGCTGTCGAGAAACTACAAATCCTATCATCCCTCTGAGGCTGAGTTCACACCTGGGCAATCCAGCTGTCGAGAAACTACAAACCCCATCATGCCTCTGAGGCTGGGTTCACGCCTGGGCAATCCGGCTGTCGAGAAACTACAAATCCCATCATGCCTCTGAGGCTGGGTTCACGCCTGGGCAATCCAGCTGTCGAGAAACTACAAATCCCATCATGCCTCTGAGGCTGGGTTCACGCCTGGGCAATCCGGCTGTCGAGAAACTACAAATCCCAATAGCCTCTGAGGCTGGGTTCACGCCTGGGCAATCCGGCTGTCGAGAAACTACAAATCCCAATAGCCTCTGAGGCTGGGTTCACTCCTGGGCAATCCAGCTGTAAAGAAACTACAAATCCCATCATGCCTCTGAGGCTGGGTTCACGCCTGGGCAATCCAGCGGTGGAGAAACTACAAATCCCATCATGCCTCTGACGATGGGGTCACACCAGGGTAATCCAGCTGTAAAGAAACTACAAATCCCATCATGCCTCTGAGGCTGGGTTCACACCAGGGCAATCCAGCTGTAAAGAAACTACAAATCCCATCATGCCTCTGACGCTGGGGTCACACCAGGGTAATCCAGCTGTAAAGAAACTACAAATCCCATCATGCCTCTGAGGCTGGGTTCACACCTGGGCAATCCAGCTGTCCAGAAACTACAAATCCCATCATGCCTCTGAGCCTGGGGTCACACCTGGGCAATCCAGCTGTAAAGAATGAAATGTGTGAACGATGCCGCCAGCTCCTGTCCTCCACCTGTAGAGGACTCAGATGCGTTTTGCCCCTTTTTGGGACATAAGGCCCCATGCACACAGGGGGACACTTCTCAACAATGGAAACTGACTGCTGGAAATCGTAGGTTAAAAAACGTCTGTTTAGTCACATTTGCATACCGCGTTTATGCGCGTTTGCATTTAGAAGCGTTTTTTTTTTTTTTTTAAGATAAGCACAGGAGA